AGTCCCATCTTAAACTTCCTCAATTCTGTCTCTAATTCTTCTTGTTCTTGTGACCAAAATCACACTTAAGCTTATAAATTTCTTCAAGGCCCAAGGCCCATGCCTTACTCGCCTAAGCCCAGGACTGGCCCTGATGCTACTTAAAGTTCTCTTTCGAAGCTTAATAGAGCTTCTCAAATGTAGTTAACTATATTTCACATCATTGGTTAGATTCTGAAAATAGAGAATGAAAGATGGTTCATACCAAGTATTATTAATCAAGCTCCTCTAGTTGACCTCAAATCATGGTAACAAGCCTCTGTGTTGAAACATCAAGATCTCATATTAACCTGAGAGCAGCTATTCCGAGCAATGATTCTCCTAAAAAAGTTGTTATCACTACTACTCTACAAGATATCTCCCACGCTAATCAATATTGTTGTATTGAAAATGGTTCTTAGGTTTCTTCATCTCAAATTGGGCATTGTATTGTAAGGATGGGAAACACACTACAAAAAAACATGCATTTTTGCGATGAGAATTTGTGACTACATAGAGTGGTCGCAAATTTGGTAGTATTTTTTACGAATGTGTGTTGGTTGTTGCAATATAGTCAGAAATTTTTGAGAAAAAATTGTTGTAAACCAGTCGCAAAAAACATTGTGACTCATTTGCGGCGAGAATAGCCATCGAAGCAAAGTTGTCGCAAAATTTCGAGTGATTTTTTTCTAGGAAACAGATTTTCTAAACTTTATGTCTAATTTGCGAGTATAATAGGCAAGCAGTTAGAACACGTATTCAATGATTTATACGGGTTTTTTTGCTAGTAAGATCATGGTCGCAAATGGTTAACAAAGTACTAGGAACAAAGTCGCAAATGTTTTGGTTGTAGCAAATTAGTGACAAATGGCAATCAAAAATTAGTAACTAAAATGGTTGATCCTCTATAATTACCGAGCAATGAGGGAGACGAAAATCATAACAACATCCCAAATCTACTCATAAAAGAACATCATTCCGCTGAACACTATATGAATCCGGTATATTCCTGGGAAAGGTCGATAATCGATCATATCTTGTCATCATGAGATATACATATTTCGGGCATGGATATACAACCACCACAATCCAGATATGAACTAACGAGAGGATTTAGAGATCGTCGATAATCAATCATGTCTCAGTATTTTTGATGTACTAAATACTTAGTTTTTTATATGAATTAAATTTTAATCTTATTTCAGTATTTTCTAAATTTTATTTTCGAAAAACCCGTTTTTAATAAAACGGATTCAAAGATTTGCAACTTACTAGCGATCACACAAGCCACACAACTTCGACGCAAAAACTTACTCCCATATTCTCACAATGTCTTTATGCCACAAATTACTCACAAAGCTAATCCACCCAAACATGTCACAAAAGATACTCACTGCAAACTTCTCGCAAACCACCACTCAATGCAAAATACGTCACAAATACAAGTCCTCGTAAACAAGTTGCAATGTCTTATGCCGCAGATTACACGCAAAAATAATCGACATAAACAAGTTGCAAAAAGTACTCAATGCAAATACATGTCTAAATAACGACGATTTCTCGTTTGTGATCATCCATTTGCGGAACTTCGTCCATCATCACAAATACTTTGCAAACTCCCATTTACGACCATATGCGAAATTGGCTTGTTTTCTTATAGTGACAAATGATCACCGCTTCAAAAGCCGGAGCAGAGGATTGATCCTCAGGTTTGGTTATGCAAAAGTCATTTTATGTGGGGATTTGTAATCGGTTTATGACCTTTTTCAATAACGCACAAAAAATTTGACAGTATCACAATGGCAAAACATGCCTTTAGGAATCGCTTGCAACTTGCAAGATGTTATATCAATTTCAAAGACTTGTGATTTAAATTTTCATAAAATCACTAGATGTGCAAGACGTTAGTGGATGAACTAGTAGAGAAAGCTAGGATCACTTTCCAGAACTATGTAATCAAATAGCCTTTGTAAATTTTTTTATTTTTAGTGAAAACAAGTTGAGAAACAAAAAAAACATATACAAATTTGCGCAAAGACCATTGTGACCGAAAGGGCCGAGGTACCAGGTTCAAGTTCTGCGAAGGGATTAAAACCCGTTCTTATCCCT